ATGACGGCTCTAGGGAGAGGGGGAATGGGGGGAGAGGGGTTGGGGTGGAGTGAATGGATCAAGAACAAAAACGTTCTGTAGCGTTCTGATCATACCCCACCCCAACCCATCTATAGGGTAACATCTTCCCCCTCCCCCTCCCCTCTTTGATTTTCATCTAAAACCTAGTATTAAAACATTATATTGTGATTTATTGTGGCTCATTTAGTACAGAAGTTACCCCATAAGATATTCCTACTCTAGTCTAGCCCCACCCCATTGTCGTTTTCCGATTAACGCCCCTTCCCATGCCCTCCCTGCTTATACGGATTATCTTGGGTAGTGATCATGACATAATAGAGTGCTTTATTGTACCCAATTTAGTACATAACATATTCCTACCCTAGCCTACAACCCCCTCCACCCCATCTATCGTGTTACACCCTCTCCTGCCCCCTACCCCCTCTGCCCCTCTCCCTGCTCGCCTACCCTCTCCCCCTGCCCGTCTACCCTGACTAATGAACATACCAATGGTATTGTTATAGCATAGTTTGAGTGTTTGATTGTACCCATTAGAATATTATAGTGATATATTTATACTTCAACTTGAATTGATGAAATAAATAGCGAGAGGGTAGAGGCCAAATACAAATCAATCAAATGTAAATCCCTATCGTTCAAGTATCACCTATACCCTTCACCAGCCTGATTATCACTCTGATAAAATATTATAGAGAAGATAATAAAGACTTATTTCTAATGAGTGAACCTCAAATAAAAAAAGTTGTTATAAACATTACAAAACACGACTAGAGGTTACAAATAGTTTTACCAGAACAACCGGAATTACTGACAGTGTCAGGGGATGTTGTGTGTAAAAAGCTTATGGAGTCCATAGTAAAACGATACTGGTGTCCATGGTTAAACGGTTCTGGTGTCAATGGTAAAAATTTCTAGTGTCCATGGTAAAACGTTTGTGGTGTCCATGGTTAAACGGTTCTAGTGTCAATGGTAAAACGGTTCTAGTGTCAATGGTAAAACTGTTCTAGTGTCAATGGTAAAACGGTTCTAGTGTCCATGGTTAAACGGTTCTAGTGTTCATGGTAAAACGGTTCTAGTGTCAATGGTAAAACGGTTCTAGTGTCAATGGTAAAACTGTTCTGGTGTCCATGGTTAAACGGTTCTAGTGTCAATGGTAAAACGGTTCTAGTGTCAATGGTAAAACGGTTCTAGTGTCAATGGTAAAACTGTTCTGGTGTCCATGGTTAAACGGTTCTAGTGTCCATGGTAAAACGTTTGTGGTGTCCATGGTTAAACGGTTCTAGTGTCCATGGTAAAACGGTTCTAGTGTCCATGGTAAAACTGTTCTGGTGTCCATGGTAAAACTGTTCTAGTGTCCATGGTAAAACGTTTGTGGTGTCCATGGTTAAACGGTTCTAGTGTCAATGGTAAAACTGTTCTGGTGTCCATGGTTAAACGGTTCTATTGTCCATGGTAAAACGGTTCTGGTGTCCATGGTTAAACGGTTCTAGTGTCCATGGTAAAACGGTTCTAGTGTCCATGGTAAAACGGTTCTAGTGTCCATGGTAAAACTGTTCTGGTGTCCATGGTAAAACTGTTCTAGTGTCCATGGTAAAACGTTTGTGGTGTCCATGGTTAAACGGTTCTAGTGTCAATGGTAAAACGGTTCTAGTGTCCATGGTAAAACGGTTCTAGTGTCCATGGTAAAACGGTTCTAGTGTCCATGGTTAAACGGTTCTAGTGTCCATGGTAAAACGGTTCTAGTGTCCATGGTAAAACTGTTCTGGTGTCCATGGTAAAACTGTTCTAGTGTCCATGGTAAAACGTTTGTGGTGTCCATGGTTAAACGTTTGTGGTGTCCATGGTTAAACGGTTCTAGTGTCAATGGTTAAACGGTTCTAGCCATGGTTAAACGGTTCTAGTGTCCATGGTAAAACGGTTCTAGTGTCCATGGTTAAACGGTTCTGGTGTCAATGATAAAACGTTTCTAGCGTCCATGGTTAAACGTTTCTAGTGTCCATGGTTAAACGGCACTGGTATCAATGGTAAAACGTTTATGGTGTCCATGGTAAAACGCTTCTGGTGTCTATGGTAAACCGCTTCTGGTGTCTATGGTAAAACGTTTCTGGTGTCTATGGTAAAACGGTACTTGTATCCATGGTTAAACGGTCAGGAGTTTTAGGAAGTCAATAACTACCGAGTTTAATAGATTTATCGTCTGATACCAGGTAAGTCAACTGTTGAATATATTCTATGGGCCAAGTTTTAAGAATATAAATTTTATATAAAAGGATCACCTGTATATATATATGCCGGTTATACTGTCCTGGTTATTATAACCTTATCATCAGTCTTTTCATTCTACCATGAAATTTACTCTATTGTTTAATATTACAATCTTATCTCTTATTCAATCTATTATCTGCTTTATATAACTGATTTCACAGTTTTGATATTCTAATGTAGAAGGGTCAAAGGTCATGTGGATGTGACACAATGCATCATTAAAGTTTTTGATATTAATCCCTAGGAAGCTAGGAAGATCATTGGCCATTTTGTTCTTGACTAGTCAGTTTGTTTCGAGCATACCTGTTCTGCTTATATCTTTAACTAATGATCTTTGTGCATTTTATTGCAGACGTACTGAAGTCGGGTGTTATTACTAAAAAGGAATACGAATAGCTGGAATTACGATTTATCAGTCCGTAAGCGAACAATTCTGTGGCCACGAAAGGGGTTGTAAGACGTGTTTTAAGGATACTTCAATCCGACTCATGCTCTATGTTGACTCAAATTTAACCGAAGTTATCGAAGGGTTGAAGTGTGTAAACGTTGGCTGTTCTAGTGAAAAATGGCGGAGGCAAACTGTGTGTCGAATGAGAAGATCCTGAGTGATATCTATAACGACCGACTACCGTGTTTATTGAGTCCTATAACATTACGCCATCTTGCTCGAGAATGGTTGAAGGAAGACACCCCTAATTTTGATTACGGTGGCTTCGTGGTAGGCGAAAAACCAGAAACGTCAGTGATTCTTTTAAAAAGTGCCGGAGTTTTAGCCGGGGTACCTTTTGTTAATGCTATATTTAAAGAATTAGATTTGGAAGTGGAATGGTTTTTCAAAGAAGGACAACGTCTAGAACCTATTCAAACTGTAGCCGCCGTCACTGGGAAGGTTCGACAACTCTTGTTAGCAGAACGTATTGTTCTAAATGTTCTTACTCGTGCTAGTGGAATTGCTTCATTAGCCAGAGAACTGAATTTTATAGCTAGAAGTTGTAGATGGGACGGGGAGGTGGCTGGAACTCGAAAAACTACGCCTGGTTTTAGACTAGTAGAAAAGTATGCTCTGTTAGCAGGAGGGGCGACAACTCATAGATACGACCTCTCTTCTATGATCATGCTGAAGGACAACCACATCTGGACAGCTGGTAGCATCACACAGGCAGTTAAAGACGCTAAGATCGTTGGTGGATTCAGCCACAAGATCGAGGTGGAATGTCGGAGTTTGGATGAGGCACAGGAGGCGGGAACCGCCGGAGCAGACGTGATCATGCTAGACAATTTTACTCCTGAAATCCTAATCAGCACCTCGACTGAATTGAAACGTCAATTTCCTCACGTGGTTATAGAAGCCAGTGGTGGGATTACTAAACTTAACATGGCGGACTACTGTGTTCCAAACGTCGACGTCGTCTCTCTCGGTTGTCTCACTCAAGGATATTCTGTTGTGGATTTTTCCATGAAAATTCAAAAAGATGGAAAGGACCCGAGAAACCTTCCAGTTCATTAGAGGGAGGAGAATTTGATAAACAATATCCGGTATACATGGATTGAAAGCGATAAAAGGGTGATTTTCTGGAACCTTTGGAGAACATGAATAGAATTTAGGGTGATATAATATCTAAACTTTATTAAAGTGCTTAAAATTACTGAAATGATATGAGCGAGTAGTAGCTTTAATTCCAGAAACAACCGAGAGTTCCTTCTTCACAATGTCAGGCTATTACGAATTTCCTTCACCTTGACTGCAATAGTCACCTTTCTTGTGTCACGGAATGAAGCGATCTGATTGGATTGTACGCTAGTAAAAACATTCAATCCAAACCCTAAACATTTTTGCTTATTGTTTACAGGCTTTCCGTTGAGACCTCTGAATGGCTATATTCATTTCGTACAATCCAATCAAATGACTGCATTTACAAACTTCTGTGATACAAGAAAGGTGGCTATTTATTGTAGTCAAGGTATAAGGCGACGTTTGTAATAGCTTGACAGTGTAAAGATGTAGGAATTCAAGAAACGTATATGTTTATTGATCAGAGTGATAGAAAGAAAGAGGGTGGGTATGATAAGCTGGAGTATCTAAATTCTATGTTGTTTAATACGTAATAAATGTAGTTGATGAAATATGTTTAAGGTAGAAATGAAATGAAATGAATGGAGTTTTACGTCCTACTTTTCTGCACCATGTGGGCTAATGAAGACGGGCAACGCCATACAGGGTGTGATGAGGGAAATTTTGCCAGGACAGCGGCATGGCCCTGCTTTATTTTCATCTGACGAGGATCGTGCGCAGTCTGTAGCACACGGGGCCTCGGTTTATTGTCCCATCCGAACTACTAGACGCAGCCCTTCCGACCTGCATCACTGACAGGGGGAAACCGGGTTGAAAATTCCGAAGGTATTATCTCGACCTATGCCGGGACGATTGAACCTTGATGTTTAAGGTAGAGTTATATATTATGTTCTAGTCATGTTGTATAGACAGACTACAAACTGAATAGTAATAATTCAGCCTGCTACCATCTCTTCACGTCTTATACAACATTTCTTTTAAAATAATGAAAATTTCACTTACCTTCTTCCTATTTTTTTAACTTTTTATTTTGTACACAAAACAAGCAAAAGATATTCTGAGATAGTGTAAGTGTTTATAAGTATATTAAACCATACTGGTGTTATATTATCCGGTATTTTCTTCTCCCCTTCGTCAGATCTTACCACAACACCTCTTATAATAGATACCCAATATCACAGCCGACCGTCTTACACACTTAAAGTGGCGTCTTCTGGGTTATTTTTGACAGAAAGAATTGAATCTGTGTTTTGGGTAAGTCTACTATTGTTTTGTAACATATTAAATTATGACTCCTCTTTGCTTATTTGAAGCATTTAAGATTGAATTGAAACAAAGTTTTATCTACTGTAAGATTTGACGACATTTAGAAGTTGCGAGCACATATAACAGAAAATATTCTTCTGTGTTTTCTGTTATATCTACTGTTGTTTGTGTATTTTATTATAACCTAAAAAGACTCCTTCGTGCTTGTTTCAGTAAGAATTCTAATTAAGGCTCTACGATGAATCATTCTGTTATTACCTATTACCATCTTTAAAACGTCATACTTATACCTTGACGGCAATAACCACTATTCTTTTATCAATGAAGTTTGTAAATTAGTGATTTGATTGGATTTACACTAGCGAATACAGCCAATCAGAGGCCTCGACAGAAAGTCTGTGAACTCAAAACCACAATGTTATAGTCTTTCTGTCAAGAACTCTGATTGGCTGTATTCGCTACCGTGAAATCCAATCAAATCGTTGTATTGTGAAGATAACAAAGGTACTAAAATAAGACCTGAAAATGTCAAGTGAAAGAAAATCGTAACTTTGAGATCTGAATTTTAAATAGAATAATATATTTGAAACTATTCCACACTTCTCTTTATAAAACCATCTTAAAGATATTAAATAATATTAAATATTTATTTTCCTACAAAACATAGCGACAATACTCAATGGCAAATATAGCCAAAATCTTATCGTTATATACACAGGAAGAGAATTGTCTGTACACCCACCATTACAATTCAGAGGTCCCAAACGGCACCTGATTAATGATTTATAGAAATGCCAGAAGATAGATGTACTTGGATACTTAATAGAATGTACAGCAGTACAAACTATACCAAATAAACACTACTAGCTGTATCAATAAATCGCAGGGTGGCTTTACATTTGGGATTGAAGCATGGTCCAGCCCTACAAAATATGATCTTCATTTAACAATCCACAACGTACCCCTCCAAAAAAATTATCCCCACCCCCACCCCCACTCCGTTGATATCACGATATACAAACCCTCTTGTAACAGTGAATTTAATTGGATTAAATCAACTATCACATAATCAAAGCGAACTTAAGAATGTTGTCAGATGGGGCTTGAGTGAAGCAAGCCACAGAAAAAAAAGAAACAAAATATCTATTAGACCTGTATTCTAATTAGATTGAAGTAACCCACTGAAAGAAAGCGAAACCAAAGATTGAGATTTATACTATAAACGAAGACTAGGTCTGTGTAAGAATCCAGTCTGGTCTCTTTAAAACAATTTAGAAAGTGAAATATGATCTTCAAGGTTTACCGACGAGAGAGAGAAAGTTGCAATGGTAAATTCCACGGCATGTTCAAGTCATTAAGTAGAGAAAGTTTTGTATCTCTCAGACGTTTCATTATTATAGTCAACATCGTTATACATTGACAATACAATAATATTACATGATAGACTCATTAGAGGCATTGTAAAGAGATTTACTAATATTTTATGCGGATAGCGGACGCTGATAGCACCAGCCAGTACGAACTGCGACTTATACCTTGACAGTAATAGACATTCTTTCGAGAGCTCGGATTAGCTGTATGCTCTAACGTACAATCGAATCAAATCACTGCAATCCTTGTATATTAGAAAGGTGGCTATGACGGTCAAGGTATCGTCTCTTCAACTTGACTGGAACTATTACATATTTCTACCCTGTTTCACTTTAGTAGTTAATGAAATAATAATTATTACATTATTTTTTGACAATTTCTAGATAGTCGTTACGTCCTATTTACATTTTCTACCACTTAATGACACAGAATTTATACCTCGCATGGCAATCTGTACAGAAGAATTTAAACGTAATACAGGTAAACACCTAAAATATTAATAGATATTCTTGGGTTACAAGTGGTATCAGTTGTCTAGAAGAGTAAGCATACCCTGCCTGGCACCACACCCGTCATAGCTGCTCAACATTACACAACAAACACTACAAATAAGAACATGCCTCATATAAAAAGTTAGTATCTTCTACCAATGTATTGCCATTTAAGAATACATCAAACCTTATCTCTTCACAGCGCACAGCACCATGCATTTAAGAAGTGAATGGTAAAATTTGTTAAAACCGGCGGACCGGGGACAGACAAATGTTTGGAGCCCTCTGACCACACCACACCCCCCCCCCCCCTTCTATAAACACCACTAAGGGTATATAATTCAACTATAACTATGAAAGGACACAAATCGAACCATTGTACTTACTTGGAACGTTGCGGCTTCTACGAATAACGGTAACGTGTACTCTAGACGTCGGATTCGTTCCTTTTTGAATTATAAGGACCATTTTTCACCTTTTTGTCAAATAATCCACATTTTTCTCCTTAATTGGGCAACTATTTATACTTTTGTTCCGTTTTTTTGATCACAGTTATAATGATCTGAATTGATGTCTTTTTTTTTTATTCTATTTTAGATCTTTATTTACTTTATCATCCAATCATCCTGGGTGGGGTGGTGAGATATTGAGGCTTCATTTTAAAATAGATCAGTTTGGTAAATAAAGAGTCGTAATTCAGTGAGTGTTCATGTTGAATTTCAATGACAATTGCTCAAAATTATGAAAATCGGGAATAAATTATGACGAAATTGTAAATAAAAATTGTGCTGTCACCCCTGTGTTTAAAATAGATAGATCTGGCTATCAGAGAGAGAGAAATAGAGATATATAAGAGACAGGGATACGATGACAAGTGTTTCAAACTGGACGTGTGACTATGTACATAAACCCCAGTGAATAGGTAACAAATATAGACTGTACTGTCCTCTACATCGTCTCATTATAAGATCTATTGTATCCCGGGACGAATTGAAATAATATCTTTTATACTTACATCAATACATACTTGTTCTTCTCGTGGTTACCGCATAGTATTACTACCTCCTGTCTTTGAAATCAGATTATTCTTGGTCTAATGTTCATCTCGATCTAATCCGATTTTGTGACAGAAAAACAACAACAAAATATTTTGGGGCTGTGAGCAGATGATAACACTGAACCCGAATACCCTGTCTAAACCTGCCAATATGTCTTCAACATAGTGTTAGAACCAAGGATAGTGGAGAAATGGTATTCAACGCACCATTTAAGAGTCTTTGATATAAATTAGCGCCGTTTTGGAACCTTACTGTCGTCAATGGCACTTAAACTGGCTATGGTTCGTCCTAATCTAATTATAGATTAAGGTGTGAAGACTACGTTTTGAAAAGTGTTGCGGATATGATCGTGAGCTCCATCAGCTGGTAATATTAATAATTACCAGGCCCGTAGTTACAGGGGGAATGCACCACGGAAAAAATGTTTTACTCCTCTGGATATATTACTTGCCCCTCCGAACCACTACAGGGCTAATAGTAAGAGAAGTATATCATTCAATAATTCTTACCTGCCATGTTATAAAACTATTTGTTCATATTTTAGATGAAAATATAAATCTCCCACATTAAAAATATCATTCACAATTTCTTTTCCAAGTTTATCTATTATAATCTGAACTAGTTCTATAACTGTCTTGATACTTGAAAAGTATAATCTGAACTAGTTCTATAACTGTCTTGATACTTGAAAAGTATAATCTGAACTAGTTCTATAACTGTCTTGATACTTGAAAAGTATAATCTGAACTAGTTCTATAACTGTCTTGATACTTGAAAAGTATAATCTGAACTAGTTCTATAACTGTCTTGATACTTGAAAAGTATAATCTGAACTAGTTCTATAACTGTCTTGATACTTGAAAAGTATAATCTGACCTAGTTCTATAACTGTCTTATACTTGAAAAGGTATAATCTGAACTAGTTCTATAACTGTCTTGATACTTGAAAAGGTATAATCTGAACTAGTTCTATAACTGTCTTGATACTTGAAAAGTATAATCTGAACTAGTTCTATAACTGTCTTGATACTTGAAAAGTATAATCTGAACTAGTTCTATAACTGTCTTTATACTTGAAAAGTATAATCTGAACTAGTTCTATAACTGTCTTTATACTTGAAAAGTATAATCTGAACTAGTTCTATAACTGTCTTGATACTTGAAAAGTATAATCTGAACTAGTTCTATAACTGTCTTGATACTTGAAAAGTATAATCTGACCTAGTTCTATAACTGTCTTTATACTTGAAAAGGTATAATCTGAACTAGTTCTATAACTGTCTTTATACTTGAAAAGTATAATCTGAACTAGTTCTATAACTGTCTTTATACTTGAAAAGGTATAATCTGAACTAGTTCTATAACTGTCTTTATACTTGAAAAGTATAATCTGAACTAGTTCTATAACTGTCTTGATACTTGAAAAGTATAATCTGAACTAGTTCTATATATGTTTTGATATTTGAAAAGGAATTATTTAAAAGGTTTACCATTCTATGATTTAGTAAGGTACATGTGTCTCTTCAACTTTAGTTTTTCACCACGTTCTGTGTATCCTAAAACAATTCAGAAATTCTTCACGAATATCTAGAACATTTCCAGGACACCGGGGCAAAGTTAAAATTAAGTGTTTAATGACGTCACTAATCGCAAAATATGCTTTATAAGGACTTCGGGATTAGCGACGTCATTAAATGCTTAGTTTTAGTGGAATTGCAGAAACCACAGACATGTCCTACGACACAAGACCTACACACCATTTCAAACTATAATTCTACTTATTAAGTTCTAGAAATTCCTGACAATTCCAAAAACACTCTCAATCTGCCAGGAACCATCAGTAGGAATTAACAAGACCTGGCTGGCCATCTGGTGTACTGGTCAGTCTATATTTGATGTATGATAAATATAACATAAACAATTATAGTTATTTAAATTATACTCGAGGTCTGGTGGGAAGGCAAGACGCTGGTTTCTGATTTTTGATTCTAGTTTTCGGTGGTTACCATCTTCAGGTCTGGACTGGTCACATGCTAGTTTCTAGTTTCCCATTATATACGGTCTGAAAGGAAGCAGGGTGCTGGTTTCTGGTTCTGGTTTTCTGTAGTTACCAGCTTCGTGTAAAGCAGGAGTCGAATCTTGGATATTATATACTGGTGTGTACTATATACTGGTGTGTACTATATACAGGTGTGTACTATATACTGGTGTGTACTATATACAGGTGTGTAATATATACTGGTGTGTACTATATACAGGTGTGTACTATATACTGGTGTGTACTATATACTGGTATGTAATATATACTGGTGTGTACTATATACTGATGTGTACTATATACAGGTGTGTACTATATACTGGTGTGTACTATATACTGATGTGTACTATATACAGATGTGTACTATATACAGAAGTGTACTACATACTGGTGTGTACTATATACTGGTGTTTACTATATACTGGTGTGTACTATATACTGGTGTGTACTATATACTGGTGCGTACTATATACTGGTGTGTACTATATACAGGTGTGTACTATATACTGGTGTGTACTATATACTGGTGTGTACTATATACTGGTGTATACTATATACTGGTATGTAATATATACTGGTGTGTACTATATACTGGTGTGTACTATATACAGGTGTGTACTATATACTGGTGTGTACTATATACTGGTGTGTACTATATACTGGTGTATACTATATACTGGTATGTAATATATACTGGTGTGTACTATATACTGGTGCGTACTATATACTGGTGTGTACTATATACAGGTGTGTACTATATACTGGTGTGTACTATATACTGGTGTGTACTATATACTGGTGTATACTATATACTGGTATGTAATATATACTGGTGTGTACTATATACTGGTGCGTACTATATACTGGTGTGTACTATATACAGGTGTGTACTATATACTGGTGTGTACTATATACTGGTGTGTACTATATACTGGTGTGTACTATATACTGGTATGTAATATATACTGGTGTGTACTATATACTGGTGTGTACTATATACAGATGTGTACTATATACAGAAGTGTACTACATACTGGTGTGTACTATATACTGGTATGTAATATATACTGGTGTGTACTATATACTGATGCGTACTATATACAGAAGTGTACTACATATTGGTGTATACTATATACTGGTATGTAATATATACTGGTGTGTACTATATACTGGTGTGTACTATATACAGGTGTGTACTATATACTGGTGTGTAATATATACTGGTGTGTACTATATACTGGTGTGTACTATATACTGATGTGTACTATATACTGGTGTGTACTATATACTGGTGTGTACTATATACTGGTGTG